TACCAGGTTATTGTTACCAATCAGAAGTGGCCCATGATAGAAGGTGATAGACAGATTGATCCAATCACCTGCCAAGTATTTTTGAAATACTTTTCCAAACGGCTTCCAGTGGAGCTTTCCTAGATGGTTTGGTGAAACAAACCATCGCTTAAAAACAAATATCGCAAATCGAATCGCAATATCTGTCAGAAAAATCGCAATTAGATTATTTCCCCAAATCGTGCAGCCCAACCAGAGTTACAAAAATGCAATAAACACAGCAGCATAATAGTAAAACTGTACACTAACAGTGCAGTAAAAAGAGCAATTCAATATCTACAGGAAACATACAATCACATAATTAAAGTAAATATTAACAGTATTGAGTAGAGCAAAAAAACTTAGCGGCAGGCAATTACATTCACGTTATTAATAATAATGATATTGCACATGTTATCTAGCAGCGAGTGTTTTGTAAAGATGGTAATGATATTTAGATTGCAGTGTTGGCACACCAACACTGCAATCTAAATATCATTACCATCTTTACAAAACACTCGCTGCTAGATAACATGTGCAATATCATTATTATTAATAACGTGAATGTAATTGCCNAATAGGCCCCCCTGAGGGCTCCGTCGCCCGTTCCATGGCTGTCGGGCTTCCCGTCGTCGGAGTCGGCACCGGCTCCGTTTCGTCGCCCTACACCCTCTTCAAGCCTCTTCTGTACCTTTTTCTGAAGCCCCGCCGTGGTTTCAACAAGACCTTTTTGACAGGTTGTGGAGTCCTCCCCTTCGTCCCTTGTGGTTCGACTACATGTCATTCCTACCCTGCAACACTGGGTGACTATACTACATCCCGCAACTTCCTCGTGAATAGTCTGTGAGGACTTGGGCTGTTGAGGCGGGAGATTACATCCTCGTCTCGACTCATACTGCCCCCTAGCTGTGGTTAGAGGGCCCGCCTGAAAATACAGTGACTAAAAAAGAAAAAAGTTATGTATTAGTGTCACCGTTTCGGAGGCCACCACACCTACTCTACGGCGGCGTCTTTACGACTCCGAGACATATATAGATGTTGACAGATAAGCATTGCACGACCACTAAACCATCCACACTACTTTGTCATGGCTTTCCACATACCAGTACACTAGCGAACCAAACACACACACACACACACACACACACACACCACCCAAGGGAAAATTTTTACATAGTCCTGACCAACACGGTTAATGTCTCCGTAGTCGTGATGAGTCGGAGGGCACATACACACACCTACAACAACGAGAACTTACCCATCGACGCCTGTTGATTCCGCCTCCGCTCCCTTATGGCACTCACTCGACGTTCTTTGGAGGATCTAATCTCTACCCTTGTCTGGTCCTAATGGTTCGGTTCGCACTACGCACCTCTCGCTATACCAAGTCCAGACACTAGCAGAGCGTACTAGGATCGCAGTCTCACACAGGACCCTCATCGATGTACCTGGTAACTATGCTATACAGGTAGTCAGGTCTACAAGGTGCTGTAGATTCGCCAAACATCTGAATTTCCACGCTTTCCGTCCACCACACAGAGACGTCAGAGCGGTTCCGATCTAGGTGACACATATCCGACAGGAATGTGGGTACGGGAGGAAGGGAAAAACGATCGTTCAGATTAAACCTCGTGTGAGCTACCCTACCTGCAAGGAATATTTGAGTACCGGGTAGGGTGTAGGGAGGTGTTACATAGAGAGAGTTACGAGACTGAGAGAGAGAGAATGTCCGCTTACGACTAGTAGCAGCTAGCGGTACAAGTAACTCCATCCTGCACCAGCGCGAAGACAGGAGAGCGCTCATGAAGGAGATGGCTCGTAGTTTGGTATATCGCTAACACTTAACATATGTACCTAGCCTAAAGCTCGCATCAGTACCCGCCTCCGCCAGACGTCAGCCACCTGATTCCTAACGGGTGACGAAAACGTTAATACACCAAGCTACCGAAGTCAGAGACCAGACGCTGGAAGTCGTGAGTGACCAGCCAAGCGTTGGCTCACAATCGCCCGAACTACTCCCTAGTATCCATATGGATGTTGTTTCTAGAGATCTCCGGTACTTCAAAGTAGTCGTCCTTTTACTGGCTACCTGACAGAGTGAGGTTCTTTACCTTACGAGTAATAAGTGGGTTTCAGGAAACAGAGAGAGAGAGTACACTTCGCATTCTTACTGTAACTGAGTAGGCCATGTCAGATTAATTTAGCGACTCCCATACTGAGTTAAGACGGACGACGAGCACACTACATCCCCAATGTCCTCTTCGTTAAGAGAACTTCGTCGTGTACGAACCTACTTGCATAGAATAAACAGTACCGTCGCCGCGAAAATGACGTGGCAACACCAGTGCAATATTTCCTCTTTAGAACTATCTATATTCCGTTAGCGAGGATGAAGATGGCGATACAAAGCCCTGGTCTACATAGAGAGAGAGAGAGGTGGAGTGGAATTATTAGTCGCGATATTATCTCCCAGTACTGCTATTCTTGCTCTAACGCCCATGTCCCGCGGCTCCTACCCAAAACGAGGCGTTTGCCACCGACCACAGGAGGGATCCCCTATCCACTCTTCAAGCCAGTAGCCCTCCTGAGCTCAATTGGCGAGGAGGAACGCGCTTTCCTCCGTCAACTCCAACCAAGCCCGTGAGTCGAGGGACCCGCGCGGAGGGATCGCCTCACAGGTCCGTGCAGGTCGACCCTTCTTCTTGTTTACCCATCCGGGATCTTCGGCCTACCTCCCATAAATATGAGAAGCGACCGGGACCTCGCCGGAACCCTAGGGGGTCAGTCTCGACCACTACACCGTCCCCTTTTCTATTCTCAACCCGAGCAGACACGATCTTTGTATCGATCGGAGGTTCTGAGACTTGAGTTGAGAGTGCTGTGCGATTAAATCTTTACGCGCTCTTCACTCTGGCTACGTTCTACGTCAGAAGAGAGTAATTTACTCTGACCGGAAAGGTACCGTCGAAAGAGGTCCGGTTCGAAACAAGTGCTCTAGACATGTCATAGTTAACAAAGTCAGGAAGTTAGTTCGATCTTTTTTGGTGTTGTCTGCACAGAGGACAGCACAAGGAAGGAGGACATCGGTGATCGGTTTTCGACTGACGGCTAGGCGGTCATAGTCAGTAACACCTCGTCCCCAGAGGCCAGTCTTCAAGAACGACACCTTAAGTAGACTTTACGTGCTCTCCCGTCGTGAATCCCTCTGGTAGTCGGAGTCCGTCTGTCTACCGGTGCAGACGGACACCGCCCCAAATAATCGCACCGTAGTTTTCCCCAAGCGAGAGCTTAGCGCATCGTTACCCTACGTCAGAAACTACAGTACACATTTGACCAAATTATATGTTTGTGTCTCTCGGAAGCGTTGCAGTACTTTATCCTCCACTTACATTTTATGTGATTAATTTTTCACCTTCTCTGTCTACCGACCCAGGAAGTAAACCGAAATTGAGACTCATAGACACAGACGACTTTCGAAAAAAATTGATCGACACGCACACGCTAGAATACGTCTTTTAACTTGTGGTATTCGGAGTCGTCGAGTTTGGTACGTAGTGTAGTAGTACTGACCATAAATAAGCACATATCTAGGGACGGAAAACGGAGGGTGACGACCACACCCAAACAGGGGCCCGAGTGACTGGGACGAGAACTCGGTAAAGGGAATTGCGATTTCGAAGTTCACATGAATCCATACTTGTTACTCCTTTGTTCCTGTATGTCTAAGGCCTCCTTCTTCAGTCGGACGGCTTCCCTGACCACCGGTGTCCACCAGGAGGTTCGAGGGTTACCGCCCCTTGAGGCACCTAGGACCTTGAGACCACAGCTCCCCGCCGCGCCTTCGGCAATAGAGGCTTTGAACACCGACCACTCTGATTCAATGTCCCCAACCTCCACAGGAATGCCCGAAAAGCTCCGCCGGAGGTGTGAGTTGAAGGCCTCCTGAACTTGGGCCTCCTCCAGACGTTCCCAGTTCACCCGAACTACACGTTTGGGCTTACCAGGTCTATCCAGACGCTTCCCCCGCCACTCGACCCAACTCACCACCAGATGGTGATCAGTTGACAACTCCGCCCCTCTCTTTATCCGAGTGTCCAAAACATACGGCCTCAGGTCCGATGATACGATAACGAAATCGATCATGGACCTTCTGCCTAGGGTGCTCTGGTACCAAGTACACTTATGAGCATCCTTATGTTCGAACATGGTGTTTGTTATTGCCAATCCATGACTAGCACAGAAGTCCAGTAACAAACCACCACTCCGGTTCAGATCAGGGGGGCCGTTCCTCCCAATCACTCCCCTCCAAGTGTCTCCATCATTGCCCACATGTGCGTTGAAGTCTCCCAGCAAGATTAAAGAGTCCCCTTCAGGAGCCCCATACAGGACTCTTTCCAGGGTCTCCAAGAAGGCCGTATACTCTGAACTGCTGTTGGGTGCATAAGCACACACAACAGTCAGAGTTTCCCCCCCGATAACCCGCAGGCGTAGGGAGGCGACCCTCTCGTCCACTGGGGTAGACTCCAACAACGAAGCACCCAACCGGGGACTTGTGAGTATCCCCACACCCGCCCGGTAAGTCCATGTAGATAGATAAAAGTGTTGAAACATAAATAACATTATATAATAATAACAAATTATCTTTTTTGGGGTTGTTTCATCATCATTGCTGTTGCTGCCATGACACCTCCATTTCCCTGTGAGGATTACTAACTGCTTATATCATACATGCACTGTACATGTCAGATGATCACCATTTCCAGACCCTCTCCGCCATAAGCAGCACAGAGAACAAGCCCCCCCCCGCAGTGCTGCTGAGTGAAAATATGCAGCCTTCCTGTTAGCGGGCACACACTGCACTGCCTCGCCTCCTTCTGAGAGTGCTGATTCTTCAGAGCTCGGTCTTCCTCCTCCTCCTCCTCCTCCTCCTCCTCCTCATCTCTATGGCCGGGCCCAGTCAGCCTTCCCCTGCAGCGATGAACCCTCACAAAGTTTCTTCTGCCCTGCGTCTGTAGTGCCTCGGGACTCTGCCCAGCGCCTTGTTGTGAAAGCCAACGTCTTTTTTCAATTGTTTTCAATGAAGAGGTAGCATGTGCCTTCTCGAGAAAAAGTGCTGCATCCAGTTTTTTTTTTAACACTTGGCTGTTTTTGTGCAGCCGCTCCGAGCACTCCAAGATTAATATTTTTCATCTCTTCAGAAAAATAGCAAATAACGTTACTATATAAATAGGAGAAGAAGCTTGTATTTTCCATTTATTTTAGATGGAAACTATGATAACAAAGATCAATCAAACACTTCCTCATACACATTTTTGATGGCAATAAACATCCATTTGGTTATCATTGGGAGAAAACAATGTCAAACAATTATAAAGAAGCAGAAATAGATAATAAAAGGTGAGGGTGCAAACCCAGTCAGAAAGCAGTGATACAAGTGCTTGGAGCTTCTTCTTTTTTTTATTAAACATTGGGAGGAGGCCCTGCCTGTACCTTCCTGCCAGAAAATGTTCTATGTGGGCCTAAGGGCAGCTAATTTTCTCCGATCATACCCTCCAGACGTCTCCTATCCATCCTTTGTTATACTTCTAAAGAATCCAAAGCCCTCAGGTGCAGCGGTCAGTGCTTTAGATCTTCAGACTAAGTACAACAGCGTCATACTTGAACCGTCTATAGCTGTGAACGGTGCATAAAGTTTTCATTAGTCGAACCACGTACAGCAATAAGATAGTTGGCAAAGTTGTGAGCGGAAGAGATGAACACAGGGGACTGACTGCCTCTGCATGT